CCCCCCCCCCGCACACACACACAGATTCATTACCCGACTTCTCCCCCGTTTTCCTGGTGGCCGCACCCGTGAGCAGGCCGCCCGCGCAGTACGCATTTTTATGCCCACCCCCGGGGATGGTCAGATCTTCTTCGGGGCCGGCTTCCCCCGGGGTGTACGGGGCCGAGGTGACCATGGTTTTCACGCACCGGACCGGCGCGTGTCGGGCTTGCGCCCAGGTAGATAATGTGTTCCCCCCCCCCTCCCCCTGCCCCTTCTTTTCCATCACTTGCGTCTGTCCTTTTCGCCGCCTCCCCCCCCCCCTCCCCGCTCTGCCCCTGCCCGGATGCTCAAACACACGGTGACCCCTTTGGACACCCTCGAGGGGATCGCTCTGCTCTACAATGTCTCGGTGCGCTGAGGGGGAGCTGGATCGGCCGGTCCTCGCTCCTTTTGCTGTCCCTGAAACCGATTGTGGCTCCCCTGTCCGTCTGACGCGTTTCTGACCATGCCATCATCCCCGCGAGCAGGTCGCCGATCTGAAACGTGTTAACCGGCTTTGGTCGGCCTCGGCCCTCGGGGCCCGCCGCACGATCGACATCCCCGTGGCCGAGGGGGCTGCGCAGCAGACCATGGCCGCCGGCCAGCAGCATCAACAACAACCTCAGCACCAACAGAAACAGCAGCAGCAGCAGCAGCAGCAGCAGCAGCAGCAGCAGCAACATCATGGGCCCTCGTCCAGCACCACCGCTGGCCTGACCACCGCCGCACCCAAGTTTGACTCCACCATCGGCACCTTGTCTGATGTGGATCGCATTCTTCGCGACAGCGAGGCGTTGCTCCATGATTCGGAGCAGCTCAGTCGGTCGATTCTCGCGCGGTAGGGTCCCTGGCGTGCTGCCTCTGCCTGGTCATCACTTGCTTCTTGCCATTCTTTTTTTTTTTTTGACCCCGCCCCCCTCTTGCCCCCTCCGCCCTCCTCTCACCTGGCCGGATCTGTCCGTCCCGCTACTTCCTCCAGCCAGCAGCACGACATCATCGGGCCACCATCGGCCTCCACCTCCGGCCGGAAGTGCGTACATCCATATTGCCGTGCCCCCCTGGTGGGCATTCTGCCCCCCCCCCCCCTGGAGATTGTCTGACTGATGTTCCTGCTCTGCGGTGTGCGCGTGCGCCCTTTTTTTCTTCTTCTGCCGGGACTCTAGCACCCTACCAGACCCCTCGACCGCTGGAACTGGCTCCACCACCATCTACATGGGGCCCTCGCAGCCGGGCTTCTCGCCGACCCTCAGCGGCGCCCGGTCGGGGGTCGCGTCGCCCTTCCGGTCGCAGCGTGGCTCGCAACTTTCGTTCATCGACGACAATCTCATGGGACAGTCCTCCTGGATGGAAAAGAAGAACGAAGACATGTTTGACCTTTAGAAAGTCCCAAACAGCCAATACTACGCCCACACATACCATGTTGTGCGGCCTGTGCAGCCACAGGCCATCTCTATACCGGTGTATTTTGTGTGTGATACATATGTTCCTCGGCCGGGCATGGTGCACGGGAGCATGAGGGGGGGGGGGGGGGGGGGGGGAATCTTGCCAGGGGGTGGGACCGCACCTTGGGGATAGCGCCCGCCATCTATCAGAGGGAGACCAACGTCTCCCAGCCCTGCGGGTGAGCCAGGTTGCTGGGGCTGTCAATCGGGGAAATGGGCGGAGCCGGGGCCTCGGCAGTGGGGGCCTCCTCCTCCTGCCCCTCGACCGGGATGAAGGCGTACGGCTCGAGCCCCGGCGGGAAGATGCCCTTGGCCAGGGGGTTGGACCCGTCGGCCGCAGGGTTGGCCGGCCAGTCGGCCGGGACTTGCACCCGGGCGAAGATATCGGTCGGCTGGCCGTCAGCAGCCTGGCGAGGAGGGGCGAGGCCGGGCAGGGGAGGGGGGGGGGGGGGGAGGTGAGAAGAAAGCAGGCCGGAGGCAACAGGAGCGGCAGTGTGTCAGGACAGGCGAGCACGGGGAGGACCACCCCGAGCGAAGGCACACACTGGCATGGCGAGAAAAGGACCACCCGGCAACATACCACCACACGGAAGACCTGGTGGTTGAGGATGGAAGTGGTACGGAAGACCGACATGCCAACATTGAGGACCGTCCCCCGGGCCAGGGTAGGGTGGCCGCCGCGCGGGGCCGGCTTATCGACCAGCGTCTCGGTGGCCAGGTCGAAGGGGACCAGCGACAGGCCGGCGGCCGGCGGGGCATCCTCGGTGGTGCCGGCGGCGGAGCCGGCAGCCTGGCCCCCACCAAGCGGGCCCTGCCCCTCGAAGAGGGTGTACAGGGCATCCTGCAGGGGAGACTCATAGGCGCCGACGTCGATCCACCGGAGGTCGCCGGCCTCCTCGCCGAGCTCGCCGGCCACCAGGGGGCTGGGCACACCGAGGGACAGCTCCAGCGGGACCAGGCGCTTGGCCACCGCGCCGCGGAAGACCGTGCGCGCGGTTTGCTCCTGGCCCAGGTAGCAGCCCTTGCGCACGTTGATACCGCCAGCCATGTCCAGATTGGCCTCCAGGGGGAAGATGCTGCCCCCGGGGGAGCCGTCCGCGGAAAAGCCCATGGTCGAGAGGTCCGGCAGGCCGAGGCTCTTCTGCAAGGCCAGCCACTTGGGGCGCGAGCTCCAGAAGCTGGCATTCGGCAGGGTGTAGCCTCCGTCCGGGGCGTCGGCCGCCTCGCGCAGGACCAGCGCCCGCGACCCGAGCAACATGTGCCGGCTGTCGCGGCCGCCGTAGCGCAGGTGCGGCGGGGCCAAGTCCGCCAGGCCGCTGGCCCCGGCCACCGAGGCCGCCACCACCACCGACCCCGACAGGTCGTCGATGGTGATGCGCTTGCGGAAGGCCATCTTGCGCAGGTGCGCCGTCAGCGGGCCGACATGGGCCGCGGGCACATCCAGCAGAAGGACATCCCGGTCGTGCGGGGCAGCCCCGGCCGGCGGCAGGTACACAAAGGCATCCGACAAGACCCGGCCGACATTCGACAGGAAGGCCGTGTAGAGCGGCCGCCCGGCGGCGGTCGGGCCCTCCTGCGACCGGTGGGTCCACGGGTGCAGGAGGTCCTGCGCGGTGACTCCCTGCAGGAAGCCCAGCAGATCGGCAGACCGGTCGGCGGACAGGCGCAGCACCGCCCGGTCGCACAGGGCGTTGGCCGCCTCCACATGTGCCGGCATTTGCGTTGGGCAGGCGCCCGGATCGCGAGCCGGCAGCGCCCGCGACGAGGACAGCAGCGTCGGCCGTACCCAGAGAGACATGTAAAGCTTCGGATTGTTTTTCTGGTGGTTGTCGTTTTTATACATGGTTGTTTGGGTTTGTGGGTGTTTTGGGGGGGTATTGTTGGATGTATTGAAGGAAGGGGGGGGGGGGGAGGAAGGGACAGGGCCAGTGACGCTAGGTACCATCACTGGGAGGGGCCACAATTAGACCTCCGCCGAAATATTGTCCCCTCGGCCGCCAGCCGGGGCAGGAGGACGCCCCGCACGTAAGCCCCGCTTTGCGCGGGCCCCTCTCGCCAGAGTGGCGGGCTCGGCCGGGGGCCCAGGCGGGGTGGGGCCCCGGGGCCGGGGGCCGGGCGGACTCTGCATGCGATCGGCCGGGCGCCAGGCCGTGTGGGATCGGTGGCACATGGAGGGATGTGTGCGTTGTCAGCTGGATTCTTCCGGCAGTCGGCTGGCTTCGGGCGGGGGTCCGCCGGTACCTTCAACACTGTGCTCCGGTGCCGGGGCACTAGATTGGGGGCAGACAGTGTGTGTGTGTGTGTGTGGAGACGGAACGGGCGGGCTCTACGCGGCGTTCTTTTCGCGCCCGCCATGAGGCAGAGGGGAGACACACCTGCGGGCCTTCACACGCCGCGGTGAGCAAAGGCGCCCCCCCCCCCCCCCCCCCGCCAGGCGCGCGCACACATTCAAGGCTACCCGCGGGCGCAGAGACGACTGGCTGGGTCGCGGCAACCTGCGCCACTCTCCCCCTCCCTCCGCCATCGCCTTGCTTGGTTTCCATCCTCCTACACTGCCGCATCACCTGTAGCACCCTCGCACGCCCGCGCGCCCCCTACCCTCCGCCCTTGCCCCCCTCCCCTGGCTGCCGAACCAAGCCTCCCCGCACCCCCGGGCCGTGCCGCCGGCGCGCTGGCCGCAGCCACTTGGAGTAGAGGAGAGAGAGAGAACGAGAGAAAGGTACACTCCCGCACGTGTGGCATGGTGTCGCCTGCCCAAGCACATTCACCCTCTCGCCCTCGCAAACACCTCGGCCACTGTCCTGCCGGTTTGCCAGCGCCTGCCACGGGTGCCGCAGGGGAGCCCCCTCTCGGGCGCCATCCGCCAGCTGGCCTCCCCCCCCCCCCCCCCCCGCCCCCTGGGTGCCTCTTCCCGTGCTGACTGCCTGCCCGCTCGCCCCCTTGCTGCCGGCCCTTGCAGCTCTTGAGGATGCAGCATCACTCCTCCGTCCACGGGCATCACCCCCACCATCCGCCGCAAGCTTCGCAGAGGCACGGCGGACCGCCGCCGCTGTCGCACCACCACCACCAACACCAGCACCACCACCCGTCAGGGCCGATGCACCCCGGTGGCGGGCCCGGTGGACCGCCGCCGCCGCCACTGCCACCGCCGCCCTCGCCCCACCCCCACCACCATCACCACCACCACCACCAGCAGCAGCAGCAGCAGCACCACCAGTCGGGACAAATGAACCATCGGCATGGGGGTCCGCCGAATGGCCCGCAGGGCCGGCACTTTGGCGACCACGCGTCCCCCCCCTTTCACCCGCCATCGGCGCATGGGCACCCCTCCCCACCGCGGGATGAGGCCTTTTATCGGCCGCACTCGCATGGGCCCCCGCATGGGCATCCGCACTCGCATGGGCCCCCGCATGGTCACCCGCACCACCAACACCACTTCTCGCACGGAGGCGACCGCCCTCACGGGGGCGACCACCCGCGCGGTGGAGACCACCCTCGCGGGGGGGAGCACCCGCATGGGGGCGACCCTCCGCATGGAGGCGACCATTTGCACCATTCACGCCATCACCCGCCACCTCAGCAACCGCAGCAGCAACAACAGCAGCAGCAGCAGCCGCAGCAGCACCACCATCACTACTCAACCCCTCGCCACCCGCAGCAGCAACAGCACCCGCAGCAGCAGCAGCAGCAGCAGCAGCAGCAACAGCACCACCACCACCATCATCACCATCAGGCGCCACCACACCACGGCCACCATGGCATCGAATTGCCGCCCCCTTCGGACCATCCACGGCCGGACGACCGGTATGCTGACCGGCATGGGCCCCCGTTCGCGGGGGAGCCTGGACCTGGGCCCGTGCATGATGCCGGTCCACCCCCGGTGGAGGCCCTCCCGCCTGGTGCCCCGGAATCGGATGCCTCCTCGACTGTCCTGCAGCAGCAGGCTTTCTTGCAGAATCCGGAAATCGCGCACCTGCAGAATTGCATCTTCATGCGCTACGCCCTTGGGATGCTTCGGCTGTGCGTCGCCGGTCACCCCTGCTGGCCCCCCCCCCCTCTTGTTTCTTTTTTGCCCACTTATGCTCCTTCCGCTCCTCCTCCCGGCTGCCCTCTCCGGCCATGACTGACCGAATTTGCTGGTCCCTCCCGGCGCGTGTACGCGCGCTTGCAGGCCCGCCTCAACCATCCTGACCTCGGCCCGAGTGTACCATGGCTTCTTCGCGCACTTTTCCATCTACCACCACAATCCGGCGGTGCGTATTGCCGGCCACCAGGGCCCGGGGCCACCCCCTCGCCATTCGCCTGCCCCTTGCTCGTCGCTGCCATGTCGCCCCCCCCCCTCCCCCCTCCGAAACTGATCGCCCCATCCTGCCATGCCTCGTAGGATGTGGTTCTCGTGTCGCTGCTGATTGGCAGCAAGATCGAAGACTCCATCCGCAAACTGCCCAAGATCCTGGAGGTCGAATATCAAGCCGTTCGGCGGGACCACATTGCCCAGGAGGAGGCCGCCGGGATGGGGTCCAATGCCAGCCGGCACTCGGGCTTCGTGCTGGACCACCAGCGGGTTCGACAGCTTGTGCGCCTCGAGCGCTTGGTCCTGTCGACCATCGGCTTTGATCTGGGCGCGGCGGATGCCAATCACACGGTTCTTCTTGTCCGGCTGGCCAAACAAAGCGGCAGTACGTTCCCGCATGGATGCTTGCCAAACTCATGGGGGAGGGAGGAGGGGGGGCGAGTGGGGCCCGATGGTCCCCCCATTGCAGCGATCGCTGGGGCGTTGTCGCTGTTGCTGGGGGCTTTTCGGTTGGTTGTTTTTGCTTCTCGCGCAGCCACGCACTCCTCTGCCGCTCCCTTCTTCGGCCCCTGGCCGGGGGAGGGGCAGGTGCGGCTCGCCGAAATGATGCTGACCCGCCTGCTCGCCCAGTGAGTCGCAATCGCACCTTCGTGGCCTTCCAGCTGCTGCTGGACGCGGTGTTCTCGGCGGCCGCCTTCGCGTGCACCCCCTTGACTTTGGTGACCGCGTGTTTGTACTTGGCGACATTGGTTCCGGGCGAGGCGCTCGGAGCCATCCAGCTGCGGCCGGAGGCTGCCGGCGTTCCCCCGAGCTCGGTCGATCGGCCGGATGACCTGTGGCGCCTGCTGCTGACGAATGCCCAGCTGCGCGAGGTGGAGCTGGTGGCGGTGGAGCTCTTCCGCCTGGGGCAGCAGTGCTTGTCCTTGGGACACCAAATGCCCGGGCTCAATTGGCTGAATGCCGTGGTCTTCAAGCCGCAAATCATCTCCTGTGACCGGCCGTTTGTCGGGCTCCAGCCTCCCGCCGGGGGGGAGGACGCCCAGGCTGGAGGCCGGGCGCCGGATCAGTCGCCAACGGCCACCTTGTCCCAACGGGGGCACTCGCACTCGGGCGAGGGCCCGGATGAGGGCGGGTCTCCGGCTTCCTCCGCGTCGTCCGCCCGCCGGGGGGGCTCTCCGTCATCAGCGACCCGGTCCCAGCATGATGCACCCTATGATGGCCCGGGTGGTGGCGGTGGTCGTTATTCCTCCTCCTCCTCCTCCTCCTCCTCCTCTTCCCACTCGTCCATGGACCGGAGTGGGGCCGGTCGGGGGGAGGGACGTCGGCGGCGTTCGCCCAGCCCGGGCCCCGGGGGGGACTTCCGGGGGTCCGGCCTCCGGCCGCTACCACCCGGCGGCCCGATCGAGCCGCATCACCACCATACCCATCGTCGGCATTTGGACGATCGGCCGCTGGATCCCGGCGGCGTGGGTGAGCCTCACCATTCGAGCGGACCACTCGGTGGCCGTGGGGGCGACATGCGCGGCCGCGGCCGGTCCGACCGGCGTAGTCGCAGCCGGTCGACCGACTCGCGCGGGCACTCGCCCCCAGGGGCTCCCTATCACTTGCCAGAGGGCGACCGGCTGCGCGGCCGTGGCCGAGATCGCGACCGCGACCGTGAGCGCGACCGCGACTTCTACCATGATCGCGAGCGCGATCGGTATGACGATCGTGGTCGGCGCGACCGGGTGGACATCGGCGGCCGCGGTGGGTCCTTCTCGGACTCCGACCATGACCGGCTGCGTGGACGTGACCGAGATGGCCGCGACCGGGATCGCGACCGAGACGGCCGTGACCGGGATCGTGACCGAGACGGCCGTGACCGGGATCGTGACCGGGGCCGCGGCCGCGACCGAGACCGTGATCGTGACCGCGACCGCGACCATGGTGGCTACCGGGATCGCGACCGGGATCGCGACCGGGATCGCGACCATGGCCGGAGCCGGAGCCGCGCGCCTGGACCGGATGACCTGCGCGGCCGCCGGCGACGGTCGCCATCGCGCGAGCTGCTCGATCGCGCTCCCCGAGGACCGCGGTCTCCCTCGCCCCCGCCGCTGGCCTGGGACCAGTCGCGCTCGCGGTCGCGGTCACCGCGCCGGCGCCCTGACATTGACAATGACCCGACATCCGAACGTGGGGCCGACGGTCTGGATGATGTGTCGGCCGCGCTGCATATGGTGCCACGCCCGCAGCTGCTCAGCTCTGTCGGCGCGACGTCCGGCGCACGGGGCAAGCTTCCCTCCGGGCTCAGTCGTACTGGTGGCGGCGGCGGCGGCGGCGGCGGCGGCGGCGGCGGTGGTGGCGGCCGGCGAGGCGGTGGCCGGGATGGCCGCTCGCGCGGGGGCCGAGGGCGCTCGCGTTCGCGGTCCCGCTCACCGAGTCCCTCCGGCGGCCGGCGGCCGTATGGCAATGGCCCGTCCCGGGGCCGGCGCTTTGGTCGGTCTCGCTCGCGCAGCCCACTCGGCGGCCACCCCTAGAGGGCCGTCTTCCTTGTGTGTCCCGGCATCTGCGGTGCGCGCCCATGCGCGCCACGCATCATGCTCGTCGTGTGTGGAGGCGTGTCTCCTCTGCTTTCTTCCTCCCTCCTTCCTTCCTCACACTGGCGGCCTTCTCTCTCTCTCTCTCTCCTTATCTCTGCATGTCTCCCTTGCTCTCCCGCTTCTTGCGTGCGAAATACATGTTATTTTATTCACCCACACACACACACATTCATATGTCTCATGTATATAGGTGGCCACCGCCGTCTGTTTCTCCACCAGCGGGCCGGGGAGCCGGGAAAAGGCAACAGACGTGGGCCCTCGAAAGGGGGAGGGGGTACCAGGCCGGGGCGCGGCCAGCGGCCGCGCCGTATGCCTTGGGTTAAGTCGTTAATTCGGCGCGTCACGCATCGCCATGTCACGCGGAGGCCGCCGCGCCCCAATTCCGGCCGCCTCCTGAAACAACAACTGACAACCGACGTAGGGTCCCGCCGAACCTCGCGGGGGAGGGGGGCCGGCGGGCGGGCCGCACGCGCCGCATGCTTGCGGTGCGTGCGCCGGCGGGCGGGCCATCGTCACCAGGGAGGCAGGTGTGGCCCGGGCCCCAGCCAAGGCGAGGGGCCGGGGGCCGGGCCGGCATGGGACACGAGCGGACTGGAACCGGGCAACGAGGGTGTCGGACGGGCAAGCGCCCCGAACGCCTGGGGGGGGGGGGGGGGGGGGGGGGGGGTCGCCCGGAGGATGGGCGTCGCCTGAGACAGGGCAGCCAGGAGGCTGTCAAGGGCCGCCGGAGGGCAGCGGCGCATGTGTGCAAGGGTGTGCGCATGCGCGCGCGCGCGGACGCGTCGGCTGTTCACCGGGGCCGGCGCCAGCCGGCCGCATGGATGGCAGGCGGCCCGGCCCCCGGCGCTCCTGCGTGAGCCCGCATGAAGGCCTAAAGTAAGGGGCCGAATTCCGCCCGGGCCGAGGGCCGCCCGCGGACTCTGCCCCGGCGGGCCCCTGGTGCTGGGGCGAGTGCGTGCACGCGCCGGTCTCCCGGGCCGTTCGCCGTAAGCCATTTGGGTGTGCTTTCGGCGGAAGGCACATCAATTCCGCCGAGCAGCCCGGCCGGAGAGTGCCTCCGCCCCCCTGGGCCCCTCCCCCGGGCCGGGGGGGGGACAAAACCATGGCCACCTGGCGCCCAGGCCAGGACCATTGTTTTGGCCCCGAGGCCCCAACGCATCGCGCCGGCCAAACTCCCGAACTAGCCCACAACCCGCCGGGCCACATCCCAACTCTTGGGTGCCCGGGTCCGGGTCCAGTTGTGGGCTACCATTCTGTCGATCTTCCCGCACCCAGGGGGGGGGGGGGGGGGGGGGGGGGCCCTCGAGTGCCAAGAGGTGGCGGCTGGCCGGCGTGTGGACGGGTCGGTTGCCGCGCAAGGGCCGACGGCTTGCCCGGCGTCTCTCGGCCGCCCCCTCCCCCCGCCCGAGCGGTGGTACAGCCTGCCGGGCAACGCGGTGGACGCGCCGGACTGGCAGGCGTGTTTATTTGTGTGTGTGGCCTGGCCGCAAGAAAGGGGTTCGGCCGGCAAATGGCCGGTCGAGTTGGATGCGGCGCGCGGCTGGCCGGCGCATGCGGGGGCAGAGGGATCGGCCGCGCCGGCGGGCGCTCTGCCGCCCGGCGCGCCCATATGAGTGCTTCTGCCCGTGTGCCGTCTTGCCCCGGGTGAAGGGGGTGGGGGGGGGGGGTGTATGGGCGTTTTTAGGGCCGCGCGCGACGGCCCAAACATGCGGCGTTCTCACACCCGGCGGGTCTCCCTCCGGCGGGCGGCCCGGCGGCCCGGGGCGGGGCGCCTTTCCCACCACGGGCGTCCCGCCGCCGAGGACGTTCCCCCGCCCCGACCCCGGGGGCTCTTGTGGCTGGGAACAAACAAGCCCCCGGTAGCTGTCACCACACACCATCGGCCCTGCGCGCGCGTGCGCGTGCGCGCGCGCGCACCCATGCACCCCCCCCCTCCTCCTCGCCCACGCTTGGGCGGAGAGTCCGCAGGCATGCGCGCCATTTGCCCAGGCGTAACTGGCCCCCTTGCCCGGGGGCCGGGAGGCGGAGGGGGGGATTCCTCCCAGGGGGGCAGGTGGCGCGGGGGAGGGGCGCGGGGCGGAGGCAGGCCACGGCTTGGGCTTTGTGAGCTCCCTCTGTCTCCTGCTCTTTCTCTCTCCCTCTCTCTCTCTCTCTCTCTCTCTCTCTCTCTCTCTCTCTCTCTCTCTCTCTCTCTCTCGGTGGATCCCCCTCACGGCACTTGGGCCGGCGCGATCTGCTTTTCGGGCGCCCACGCCTGGCCGGGGGCGAGATCGCCCCTGGAGGCACTCCCCTCTTTCTCCACCCCCCCCCCTCCTGCTCCGCTGTTTCCCTGATCGCGCCCTCCTATCCCCCCCCCCTCCCCGCCCCTGGCCTCCCGACAAGACACATACACGCGCGCGCTCTGTGCACGTCCCCCTCCCCCCCTTTCCATCCTCGCCCTTCCTCCCTCCCGCTAGCCTTCGCCACCCACCGACCGGTCCAAGCCGGCCAACCCCCGGAACATTATGTCAGGTGCTACGGCCGGTGCAACCAAGCGCGGTGGCCGGGCCGGGGCCTCGGCCCGCGGCGGTACGCCCTGCCGGGATCCTGCCTTTCCTTGTGTCTTTGCTCCTCTCCCCTGGCCTCCTCACCTCCGCCCCCCCCCCCCTCCCTTGCCCCCCGTCGGTCCTCACTACGCGCCCTGCCCATCGCCGGGCCGCATGTGCATCCCCCTGCCAGGCTCCAACACCCAGCGCAAGCAACACTCGGAGATGGAGCGGAAGTATCGCGCCGAGCTGAACGACGCCATCACCTCCCTGCGGAAGTTGCTGACCCCCACCAATGCCGACCCTCCGCAGGGGGTGTTCCCCATCCTGCCGGAGGCCCACAACATTGCCAACATCAACAAGGCCCGGGTGTTGCAGCTGACGGCCAATTACATCCGCCAGGCCAAGACCACGCTCATGCTGACGAATGAGCTCCTGCTGGAGGGCGAGCCGCAGCTGGAAGTCGGCGCCCCGGCCGGGGAGCTGGCTTTGCTGGGCCCCGGCGGCCTGACCGGCGGCCTGGCTGGCGGCCCGGCCGGGGGCGCCGGCCGGCGGCCAGATCTTCCCCCCTGCGGGGGAGCCTCCTTCGGCAGCCACGCCGGGGAGGCCGAGTGCATGTCGGCCCCCGGCCCCGGGGGCATGCCCATGATGGACGACCCGGCCGCGCGCGAGCTCCTCACCCAGAGGATCACCCAAAAGTACACCGACGTGGTGACCCGGACCAACCAGCTGGACCTGCATCTGCGGCTGATGATCAACCACGTCTGTGAGGAGGCCATTTTGCGCGGCCTGGACCCGAAGTCCTGCGAGGAGGATCTCTACGGCATGACCGGCCTGGCCATCTACCCGGAGGCGGTGGCCTCCCTGCTGGAGGAGACTCGCCGACGTGTGACTGCCGAAGTGGCGGCCCAGACCCAAGCTGCCAGCGCCGCGGCGGCCGCCGCCGCCGCCGCCGCCGCCGCCGCCGCCGCGGCGGCCGCTTCCAAGTCCGGCTCCGGGCCGGCCCCCCCACCGGCGTTGCCCGGCGCCGAGAAGGAGTCCACCTCGCGCGTCACGGCCGAGCCGCTGTTGGATTCCGGGGCGACCGGGCTGCCGCCCCCTCGGCCGCATCCCGCCCGGCCGTCCAGCAACCCCACCGACCCCGATGCCGGGGGTGCTGTCCCGGCGGCCGGGGCATCCGTGAAGATGCAAGCCGGCTCGCCGGAGCCGGCCGACCCGGACTCCGGCTCGCCGCCACTGTCGCCCGATGGCGAGCAGCACCAGCAGCATGGGCCCCTCGATTCGGGCCTCGCCGGGGGGATGTACTCCTCGCAGCATGGGCTATACCAGCCGCAGGGCGTGCTGGGCTCTGGGCACCCGGGCTACTACTATGACGTGGTCCCTCCGCCGGGCGCCGGGCCCGGAGACACGCACTATGATCTCCGACATGCCCCGGGTGATCAGCCCCCGGCGGGTGTCTATTACGACACCCAAGCACGGCACCCCCCGGCCGCGCAGTATCACCACCCGTCGCAGCAGGCATCGCAGCAGCAGCAGCAGCAGCAGCAGCAGCAGCAGCAGCCGTACCACCAGCAGTCGTACCACGCCTCGACACAGCATGCGCCCTTTCAGCCATCCTCGCAGTCGCAGCAGCCGGTGCAATACGACCAGCACCACTACCACTCGCACCAGGGTCCGGCGTATCATCACATCGACCCGTCGGCCGGAGACTTTGCCGGTGCGACTTGCCGCCGTCCCTGTGGCATCCTCATGCTGGCCGCCCTTCTAACGCGCACCCTGCCACCCTCCCCGGTCCTTCCCTGGCCATCTGGTCCCCATGCAGGGGGCCCCCCTTCACACGACTTCCTGGCACCGCATGCCGTCTCGTCTGGCGGCCCTGCAGGCCGGCCATCGCCCCAGGTGCGTGGCCCTCTCCGCTGCTTCCTTTCCCTCTGCTCCCTCCCGCTTGCCCTTTCCCACGAACCGCCCCACCACCGTCGGCCACAACTGACCTCGGCTCCGGCCAATGGCGCTGCCACCCGTCCAGGCACCCGGCGTTCGGGCCTCGGTCATGGTCATGCCTGGATCCTCGGGCTCTGGGGCAGCGCCGCAGCAGCCATGGGCCATGCTCACGCAGATTCCCGGCCCGGCCCGGCCGCGGTCCTCCTCCGTCTAGGGCGGCCGCCTCCGCCGGGCGGGCCCCCGCGCCCTGGGCCGCCCCCCTCACTTGCTCGTGTGGATGTCTGTGCTGGCGTCCGCCCGCGCTCCCTCTCCCCTCACCCCCCTCTCTCTCTCTGTAGGCTGCGCGTAAGCGCGCCGGCAATACACCCAGTTTTGTCCCGCCTGTTCTCCCTTCACCATCCGGCGGCTGGGAGGGAGCCGGACCGATCGGGCGCAGTGCCGAGGCGGCGCCAAACGTTGGCACTTGGCCAAATACATGCCCAGTCTGCGGTGAGACCGAGGCGGAACGTGTTGCCCCCGGCCGGCGGGCGCGGCGGCTCGAGGGCGAAGGTGGGCCGGGGCGGGGGCGGGGCCGGCCGTGGGGCCGACACAGTTGTCAGACTCATGCCTCTCTCTCTCTCTCTCTCTCTCTCTCTCTCTCTCGCGCGCGCGCGCAGATCTCGATGGCAGGTGCAACGCGACCGGGAGATCCGCCAGGGGCGTGGGGACATTTTCCCTGTTTTCGGCGGCCCTGGCGCCCGCTCGCGCGGAGTCCCCTCCCCTCTTGCATCCCACCTTGGCAACCCTTCCCCCTTCCTCCCGCTGGCTGTCCCCCCCCCCTCCCTCCCCCCTCCCCCCGACTGTGTTGCCATGTTCACTCGCCTTGCCCTGCGCACCGTGGCCCGGACTGTGACCCACGCCCGGGCCGCTCCGGCCGCCCTTGCCGCAGCGTCGCCCAATCTGGCGGCGCGCTTCCGCCTGTACTCCACGTCCGGCTCCTCGCCCTCGGCCCCGGCCGGCGACAACCCGTATGCCAATCCCGCGATCGGGGTGGATTTCGACGCGTCGGCCATGATGCGCGTCACCAACCCCACCTCCGGCAATGCCGAGGACGAATACATCCCCCCCTTCCAGCTGCGCCCGGCCCCGCGGCCGAACGAGCCGATCGACAACAAGCGCAAGCGTCTTCTCTGGGAGAGCCGGTGCGTGGAAGAGTCTCCCCCCTCCCTCGGCGAGGGGGGGGGGGGTGGCGAGTGTGCCCCTGCCCCCTTGCCTGCCCTCCCTCTTGTGCCCCTTTTGGCCGGTGGTGCCGCGGCCGTCCGAATGCTAACTGGTTTTCCCTGTCCTCCGCCGGTCGCCGGTGCGCGGCTTCCCTCGGCCCCTGCCCGGACGGCGGGCATTGGTGCCGCCTGCAGCAAGCGCGGCATCCTCGAGAACGACCTCATCCTGGGCACCTTTGCCAAGCGCCACCTCGATGAGCTGGACGACACGGAGCTCGAGCAGTATGACCGCCTGCTGGACGAGAACGACTGGGACATCTACTACTGGGCCACCGAGCGCCGGCCTGTGCCCCCGGAGTTCGCAGACACCCGGGTCCTGGCTCTCATCCGGCACATTGCCCGGAACCCGGAGGGCGAGGTCCGTGCCATGCCGGAGCTGTGAGTGCCGAGCGCAAGAGGCCCCTGGTCCCTGTCTCCCTTTTCTCCCTTCCTCTCTCTCTCTCTCTCCCTGTCTTTCTGTATGGAAGACAATAGACCCCCCCGTCCCCCGGACCAGACGCACAAGGCCCAGGCGGCCCGGAGAGAGGATGAGACCAGGACGGTGGTGGGCGCGAAAATATCCCGAGCCGCCGCTCCGGCGGGGCGCCGGCAGGCGGACGCAGGGGCTGGTGCGATCAGAACACGCGGGGGCTCCGGATCAGGCGCCGGCCCACATGATATGACCAACTGCCAGCGCTTGCGCCGGCCGTCCGTCGCGCCAGCCGCCCGCCCCGGGCGCCGAGCTGTCCAACGTCCTCCCGGCCGGCCGGCCGGCCGGCCTGGGGCGGGGGAGCGGGCGTGCATGCGCGCGCGCACGCGCGCGAGCAAACGTCTTGGGCCCACTCTCCCTGGGGGCCTTCCAGAAGCCAGGCTCCCACAAGGGCGGCGGAGGACGGCCGTCACCGGCGGCGGTGAGAGAGGCAAGCCCCGGGGGCCGGACCTTCCAGAAGCGGGGTCCGATGAGGGGGAGGGAGGGGGAAGGGAGGACCGGGGCCGTTGGGTGTGGGCGCGTATTTGCCGCGCCGATTACACCGGGGGACGCGCGTCTCTCCCCCACCCCCGGAGCGAGGGGGTGCCCGCGCAAGAAGAGGACGCTAGCGTTTAGGGAGGGCACTGGCTGTCAGCACGGCCGCCGCGGCCCGTTCAAGCACCGGCGGCGGCGGGGGGGGGCGGGGGG